CCACGACTTGTAGCGACGTCCCTTCTCGATTCTCAGGGGAGCCACGCGCGGAGTTTGACCGTCGTTTGTGGGGTCTTAGACTTCCGGCATGGGAACGAAACGATGGGAAGCGCCTGGTAGCCTGGCTCCAAGATAATGGGTTAGGTCAAGCAACGCCTAAGCCTTTTAGGCTGTCTGGTCGAGATGAGAAAAGGGGGATCATTGGTACTTTCCTTCCCGCTCCACAGGAGCCAGAGCAACCGGATTCATGGACCATCTAGAATCCAGCCTCGGCCCCAAGTAGATGTACCTAGGGCAAGCGTTCGACTGCATCCTCCACATGGTGAAGATGGGAGAACAGGGGGCATGGGGTTGATCAGAGCCACTTTGGGGAACTTTAGCAACTGCTGGTAGCAGATACAAAAAGTCATGGCTCGTCTCACCTGTAGTCCCCAGGAATTTTTTTTTTCCCATCCACTTCCCCTACCACACTGCTCCAGGTTGTATCCATCCGTAAGGGTGCCCACAATGCAGGAAACAGCTGAGCACAAGGCTTCCATGGAGGCTGAGATTGAGGTTGCCCACAGTGAGGGCCGCGACCTTCCAACAAAGGGATATGAAGATCCTCACAAAGCTGCGCTCGAGGATAATCCTGAGCACGCTGAGAAGCTCAGTCTCTCTGTCATTCTTTCTGCTCTTTTCCTGGGAACCTCTTTCACAGGACCTATCATCTTCGGCTTCATCCTCGCTACCCCCATATTGGTACAATTGAGTCAGAAACTGGGCGGTGACACCATCGACTTTTGGATACCTTCTGGCTGGGGTGCAGCCGCTGCTGTTGGCTTTTCGGTTGCAGGAAGACTGTCAGATATCTTCGGTCGTCGATATGTTATTCTCGTTGGACAGCTTCTCACAGTCGTAAGTCTTTTTCCCGCAGCAAAACCCGATGTCGAACGGTGTCGAGGTTTTGATGTTTGTTCCACCGTGCACCGGGTGGAGCCGATATTTTTGGCTTGCTATATTTCTATGGACGCCAACGCTAATTGTGATGTTGATGTAGATTGGTGGCGCTATTGCGTGCAGCGCACAGACGATGAATCAACTCATTGCCGGCGAAGTCATCCTCGGAGGTTCCATTGGAACAGTCTCGGTCGCCTACGCTGGTGAGCCTCTTTCGATCTCCGGGCTGTTGCGATGTTCAGTTCCTTATATATATGTGTGTGAACAGGTATCTCTGAAATCCTGCCCAACAAATACCGTGGTGTTGGCCTCGCCTGGACAGAACTCAACCTTGCAAGTTGGGCCATCGCAGGTACGCTTCTTGCCAATGCTCTTCTTTCCCACGCTAGCTGGCGGGTGATGTACTACATTGCCATGGGATACGGAGGTTTCTCACTCGTTGGGACATTCCTTGTGTATTTTCCGCCCAGTCACCCGCGTCCTGATGGCTTGACCAAGTGGCAAGAATTCAAGCAGCTCGACTTCATCGGTACCGCCCTTTTTGTCTCTGGCCTTGCTGTCTTCCTGTACGGCTTGAACTCCGGTGGAAACACTTATCCTTGGTCTGCTGCGGGGACTCTGGCTCCTTTGATCCTCGGACTGTTCGTGTTTCTGGGATCTTTCGTGTACGACTTCACCCTCGCCAAGGATCCTCTGTTCCCGTGGTACTTGTTCAAGAGCTTCCGGTCATTCTCGTCACTGCTTATGCTCGTCTTCGTGGCGGGCATGGTATTCTTTGCGGCCTCCGCGCTCAATGCCCAAACAATCCTCTATCTCTATACTGCCGACCCAATCAAGATTGGTGTATACTCCATCCCTTCTGGGTAAGTACCCGCCCTGCCGAAATGCGGATGTTGATGTTAATAATCCATAAGTGCCGGTCAGCTCGTCGGAGGCGTCATTATTCCTGGCCTTGTACACTATATCAAGCACGTTCATATCCAACTCACCTTTTCCGTCTTCATGCAGACCCTGTTTTTCGGGCTGGCCGCACTCATCACTCCCCACAACATCAACTGGGTCATGGCGGTGCAATTCCTTGCCATGCTTCCATTCGGATGGATCACGCTAAACTGCTACACAACGGCCTCGCTCCACGTGCCTCAACGTGACCTGGGAGTCGCTATCGGGCTGATTGGCACCTTCCGGTCTCTCGGTGGAGCAGTTGGTTCCGTCATCTTCTCATCCATTTTCAATCAGATCTCGGCCAAGCAAGTCCCCCGACGTATCTCGGAAGCTGCCCTGGCAGCGAATGTGTCGGCCAAGACTCTCCCGGACTTGATCGAAGCAGTCTCGCTGACGCTGGTTGGCGTTCCTGACCAGGCCGCAACTGTACCTAGCGTGTCAGCAACGGTTTTCTCCAAGTGCGTAGAGGCAGCCCGGCTTGGATATGCGTATGGGTTCCGCATCACGTGGCTGTCGTCAATTCCTTTTGGTGTCATCGCCATGCTTTGCGCAGTGGCCGTTTATGACCCTTCAAAGTACTTCACCAACCATGTTGAAGTTCACCTCGAGAAGGAGATTGGTGGCCGACAAGCTAACCAGACGAAGGAGGTTGAAAATTGATTTAAGTTCGCTTCAGCGGCATGTCCGTTATTTGGGCATTTCAGTGTCATTAGGACCACATCAGCTAGGATCAAAGCGGACACCACATAGCGCGCTCTGTTACCGTCCGTCGAATGTTCAAGAGAAGAGTTTCTCTCGATAGAGCAATCGTGCATCTTTCATCTTTCGTCTCCATGGGCATCGCCGGCAAGCTCCGGGATGTTGGTCCCAACCTGTGGCTAGTGGATGCTCCCCCCACTTCTCTTTCAGAGCTATTTTTCTGGTCCCGTTGCAGCTCCATTGTGGTGGCGTAGAAGTGCCTTGTGCTCGCAGGTAGCGAGGTAGCTAAGTGCTTGAACCGGGGAGTGGCTGGAGACATGGAGGTGGGTGGTGAGTGGTGAGAGGTGAGAGGAAAGTGAAGCAGCGAGATGTGACCCTGGTCGTTGGCTCAGGGACGAATCGACAACGACGAATGGATGAGGGACAGCTGAACCGTCGAGCCGTCTTCTGTGTCGCCCCGCTCCGAAAATAAAAAAAAATAGGTAAAGAAAAAAAAGTCTTAGTGAGAGAAAACCTAGCAAACGCGGTTCACTCTCTCACGCAGTCACACGACGAAGGCCTGTGGCATTTTTGACCAGCTAGTGCAGCGTTACCTGAACTTGCCCGCTGCCCACCTACGTCTAGGCTGTTGTTTGCTCCTCCTCTTTCTTCTTCAATCTTTTTTCCATCCTCTTCAACTTGTACAATTCTTCGTCCTCTTCTTGCTTCTCCAACAATCCATTGACGGTTGCTGTGGCTGTTACCCCGCGTTCCCTCACTCGTTTCAGGATTCGCACTTTTCACATTCAACCCTGTTGCAATGATGTCCGAAATCACCCATCCTACTATCAAAGGTATGTTGCCCTTATTCAAGGCTCTACCCCCAATCGTGTAGCCATTCTGACTCGCATCTTCATCGCAGATGGCTGGTTCCGAGAGATTTCGGACATGTGGCCCGGCCAAGCCATGATCCTCAAGGTCAACCAAGTGCTTCACCATGAGAAGTCAAAATACCAGGACGTCCTGGTCTTTGAGAGCAGCGACCATGGCACAGTCCTGGTCCTTGACAATGTCATCCAGTGCACCGAGCGGGATGAGTTTTCTTATCAAGAGATGATAACACACTTGGCCATGAACTCTCACCCGGATCCGAAGAAGGTCCTCGTCATTGGTGGCGGTGATGGAGGTGTTCTGCGCGAGGTCGTCAAGCATGAATCGGTGGAGAAGGCCATTCTGTGCGATATCGACGAGGCTGTCATCCGCGTCAGCAAGAAATATCTCCCCGGAATGTCCATTGGATTCCAACACCCTGCCGTCGAAACCTTTATTGGAGATGGCTTCAAATTCCTCGCAGACCGCAAAGACGAATTCGACGTCATCATTACTGACAGCAGCGATCCCGAAGGTCCTGCAGAGACCCTCTTCCAGAAACCATATTTTGAGCTTCTTTATGGAGCATTGAGAGACGGTGGTGTCATAACTACCCAAGGTTGTGCGCACCCTTCTCCCTACACATTTTCTTGAGCTCCAAATGCTCTGTTCCCGCAAAACGGTGGAAAAGAAACACGCTAACACAACCACTCTTGTCTAGCCGAGAACCAATGGCTCCATCTGCCTCTAATCACCAAGCTCAAGAAAGAATGCAAAGAAGTCTTCCCCGTGGTCGAATATGCCTACACCACGATCCCTACCTATCCTTCTGGTCAGATTGGTTTCATGGTCTGCTGCAAAGACCCCAACCGAAACGTCAGAGAGCCATTGCGATCTTGGAGCCCCGAGGAGGAAGAGAAACTGTGCAAGTACTACAACAAAGAGATCCACCGAGCAAGCTTCGTCCTGCCCACTTTCGCCAGGAAGGTACTGAAGTAGTAAACGCACGCAATGAGGCTTTTTGTGAAAGGCTGTTGGGGTTTACAGGCATGATACCAGGGTGAATTTTGCGTTATGTTCATGGTTTACAGGTGGCATTGAAGTCTGTCATACAAAGAGAAGGGGATGAAACGCGCACTCGCGGCAACATAGAGAGGATGAGACCGATATGAGGCTTTACGACCCTTAATGATAGAAGAATCTGGTCGATCCGCGATTCATTGATTTGAGCTCGGAGGAAGAAGCCCAGCCAGTGGTGAAGCTGGATGGCGACGTTTCAACCATGACTTCACAGTGGAACCTCGAGTGATGTCACAAACATTTCAACCACAGCCTTCTCGATGATCATTTCAAGACACTGAATATTTCTTTGATATTTTCCTGGGTCTCATGAGCTTTTTCCTTCCTTTCTCCGCCCTCATTTCACTTACCTCCAAGCCTATCTTCCAATGTGTTGTCACAGACACTTTTTCAAAGATCAAAACCCCAGCTACGAGTTGAAAAACAGATCCAATCCAAACACATTCACATCCCTCAATCCCTTCACACCAAAACGCTCCTAAGAAACCATGTCTTTCACAGCAAATCCCCGTGCCCCGAAACCTGATTCCTACAACATCCCCCAAGAGCCAACCGGGCCCATCACTTCGGACTCTCTGGCGGCAGAATCCATCAAGAACCGTGGTGCCTTCTCTGAAAACAGCTCGGCTGTCCCCATGGGCGTACAAGGCGACCAATCCACGCTCAACACGACGGATACATCCGGGGCAACAACGCTGCCCCCGGCCGCGACAGGCACCGAGCGGGAGAAGAGAGAGGCCCTGGGCGCAGGAGCCGATGTGAAGGGCGCTGCAGGCCTAAAGTACCCCGACGCTGCAGGGAGGGCACAGTTTGACGGCGTGCACAGCGACCAGGGTGCCTCTGCTGGCGGAGGATCGAGTGCTTTCCAACAAGCTGGAAGCGGGACTGGATACGGGGTTTCAACCGGTCAACCGGCCGGGGAGAGTGACTTTGGCGCTTCGACCATGTCCTCGTCCGCCGGCGGTATCGACCAATCCCAAATCCGTTCTGGCTCGGCGAACATCAACGGCGGCGCTGGAAGGCCCCCCGCCGCGGGCACAGGTGTGCGTCCCCACGTCGACGCCGCGCCCGGATACGTATCCACGGTGACGGGCACCGCGATGCCGGAGAACACATTCAAAGCCAAAGGCGCAAACCTCGAGGACGCAGACGTCACGCACAGCATGCCCCCGAGCAAGACATTCACCGGCGCCATCGGCACCGTCAACGACCCCGGCCGACTCGCGGAGCGTGAGTTTCTGGGGAGGAACGAGGACCCCATTGGCGAGATGGGCCAGGAGAGCCAGGCTGGCGAGCAGGGGGGCTTGTATGATGTCTTGCAGAACGAGAGGGCCTGAAAAGGGCCGTCAGATCTGTGGACATCATCTTTCAGAGGGAGGGGAAGGGAGGCCAGATGGCGAGTTTTAGGTCGATGCCTGTGGTGAAATTTCCAAAGGGCGAAATGAATCTTGGAGGTAGGTTCTCGACGGAACAAGGAAAACGAGAAAAGTACTGGTCGATAGCAGGAGCAGCCTTCTGCTATCGCACACCACATGCCACATAGCATATAGCATGCCGCATACCACATACCACGTACCGGACGTCGATATGGCCCTTCTCGTCCACGACAGGATCTCGTCTATAGACCGAAACATGGTCGTGTGGCTAGCTTAGCACCTGAGCAAGAAGCATAAGATAAATCCTCAAGTGAGCTTTCGGGCGCGAATCCTTGGTGCTGCCTCCCTCCCTTCTTCACTTGCTCGCATACACATCAACTTTCCACCGTTGACCCTAGGGCGCGACTTATCATCATCGCTGACTCCCTCTGTCCCATTTTCGGATAAATCAATCCCTTAGGGTCCTACTTGCGGGGTAAATGGCCGCTGCACCTAGTTAGTTCCGCGGTGCTAGCTAAGGAGGCGTCTAAGCATGTATGCATGCTAGCCACCTAAGTCCGATGTGTGTTTGTGGGCCGGAAAATCAAACCTGCTGTGTCCAGCTCAGACGTAGTCCGTGTTTAGTCCTTCGTTTCTGATCGTCATCCTCGTTCCATTGCTTCCTGCGTGGATGGCTTAAGGTGGTTGCGCCGGAAATGCTTGGGAGCGGATTGCTTGGATGCTTGAGACGCAGCATTGTCGTGCTATGTACTGGGTAGATGACTCGTCTCGATGAATCGTGTTGGTGGATTCTCAAGATCTCTCGAACAGCACTGGATTTGTCGCATCCTGGTGATAGGGGGGAGCGCATTCATAAGGGCCCTATGTCGCGCAGACAAAAGATGCTTGTTCTGGCAAAATCGGTATTCAGGTCGTAAGATCGAATGTCAACCCTTCATCCCGTGCTCGCACCTGTCTCAGCATTCATCTCGAAATTCAAGAAACCGTCCAGACCGCTCATGACATCCTTCGCAACGCCTTCAGTAAGCACAGCATTGACCACCTTCTTCAACAGACTTCTCTTGACACCGCCGATCCTCGGCCGCCAAACACCGGGAACATCAACTCCTTCTTGCACCTCGCCGGACTGTAGCACGCCCCTCATTGTATCTCTCGCAGGCGTGTCGATCATCCGCGTCGCAAGCAACTGGAACTCACCCTCCGTCGTCGTGCTCCCGACACTGGCGGCGATGACTCCGTCCGCAACGGCGAGCTCTTCTCGACTGGGATCGAAAATGATGTTCTCGCCGACTATGACGACGAGAAGCGTCACGGGAGGTTTGGCAGGAAATGATTTGGTTCGGGGGTACAGGTACGTGCTGGCCATCCAGTCGTCATCGGCAACGGGATCTTCTTCGCCTTCACTCTTGAGCTTTGGAACGCGCGTGTCGCGTAATGCCATATGTGTCGCGACGCTTAGGAGCGGAAGTGGGTAGCTTGCAAGTCCATTTGGCGAGGTAAGAAGCACATCGATGTATACGTGCCAGTGCCATCGGGAGTTGATGATCAAGCTGTCCTGCAGCGACGGAGCGTCCGAGGAAGAGGACACCACCAATGGCTCCCTTAGCATTTCCTCCAGGAAGACCAAGTTGGGATCGTCGTCTCGTAGACCAGGAAGTGTGAGTGTAAGAGTCACCCACTCTGGCTTCCCCTTGCCTCGTCTTCTTTGACCCCTGTTCCAACCTCGATTGTCTGCGTCAATGTCCATTGCTCCATCTTCAGTTCCCGACAACACGTTGTTCCCTGCAACAGTCCTCTCGACCTCGAGCTTGACGCCGACAATGGCTTCACGGCCGTCACTAAATCCGACATGCGCGCTCCCATTCACGGCTGGGAGAACACCCGTCTCTGCTCTCAGCGGTCGAAAGTCGGTCGCTAGAGGGCGCGCATCCGGGCGCAGAGGAGGGATAGAAGATAACGAGGTATGGAGGTAGGCCAGCTCGGCCGGTGAAAAGGGGAGCGAGTTTGCAAGCGAAGGCATCGTATTGTACAATCCAAGTCAGCGAGGAGACAGTCTGGCGGGGCTTGAAAGTGTCCAGCGACCTTTGAGATTGGTTCGGGTCCAGGTCGCTCACAAAGTCTAGAGTCTCAGATCAATAAAATTAAGGAGCGACGAGGGCACCAGGCCTGAATAGAGCTGTATTCTGCGAGTTGGACGAGTTTCTGGAGGATTTTTGTCCAAAGCCGAAACTTCTGAGGAAAAAAAAGAGTCCCAGGTCCATTTCCCGGAGTTACCATTCCTGCACACTATGCTAACTCCCGAGGGCCAGCCTTGCACTTGTCAGGCGAACAGGACGTGGGAACGGGAGATGAATCGATGTTCTACAATGCGAATGTGTTTCACACCCAAAAGGCTAATAATATCAGACCGACGTATTCCCCGTCGTCCGAATTTGCTAACATTTATTCATCCTTTCATGTCTCCAAGGCGTCAGCCGTCAAGCGCCATCCCTTCCACATCACCTCTGTCACCCACCAGCCTCGGCCGGCCAGCTTTCGCGCCATAGACCATTTCCATCAGTTTGCTCTTCTGCTTTTCCCTAACACCCTTGAGATAGTCATAGGTTCCCTCGAGCCCTCTGATCTGCTGATCAATGACACTGACATTATCAACAGTGACAGAGTCATTCCTCCTGACCAAAGGACTGACCAGTTTCCTCCGCAGAATTTCCAAATTCACTTTGAGAGTCTGCAGTCGTCCGTGATGCTCCATGAGTAGATGCTTATTGTTGACAGTCCTCGATCGTACACTTGACAACAGCTGCTTGTTCTTCTCGAACTTTCTCAACATCGCTGCATTTGGACCGATGACTCTTGTCCACAAAGATGAAAGAAGGTCGTTCTCAAGTCTTTCCTGCGTATCTGTTTCTCGGACCACCGTTCGCTGCAAGTTGAGGAATTGTCGATCAATCGATTCAAACAACACAAACAGCGCGGCAGAGTGAGTCAGTTCGCTGTTGATCGACTCCTCAAGCACATTCACAAACTCGTGGAACGTCCTCGTCAGTGTCGCTCTCGCTCTTTGTGGCGAACTTGCACCGAATACATCGGTCAAGAATTTGCCCAATGCTGTGGGCCCTTTCGACGTCTCGAGAAATCCTCCTCGATTGAAGACACCGTGTAGATGATCAAAGATCACGCCAGCCATCGACGTTCCTTGGGCAGATGTAACGCCCTCCAGTTCTCGTTTCGCCCAGTCCATCACCAGCAAAATGCTGTCGACATCGGAATCAACATCGGCAAAAAACCGAGTCAACTCGAGGCCAAGAGTTTTCAAGCTCTCGGATAGCTCGTCCAGGGAACGCACAATCAACGGTGCTGAGGTCATATTGGCGCTCCTGACCGACTCACCAAGGTCCCACACCGCCACGCTCGTTTCCTGCAATGCCGTAATTTGTGTATAACCGTTCTCGGAATAGAAAATTAAGGGCTCAAATGACTTGGCCAGAGTTGAAACTTTGACAAGATCAGGGACAGGAGGCGGAACCGGAGGAATAAGAATGATGCGCAGAAGTGAAGCAACCAAGATGGTGGTTATGATCGACATGAAAGTACTTGATCTCGTCTTAGTCATTGCATCGAATTTTCTTTGTATGAAGTTGAGAAAAGGAACGAACGGCTCTCGATGTTGCACTTCTGCTCGGAGCTGTAAGCGAATGTCTAGAGCACAGTCAGTCACTGGAAGAGACTCCATTTGCAGTACCATTTACAATTGTTCGGACTCTCTGGAGGTACGTCTCCTTGATCAAATGTCCTCGGATTCATTTCATATTGTGGCTCTGCTTCCGGAGAACGCTCCCTCACCGGCGAGTCCGTACCTGCTGGTAAAGGCGTGTTCACAGCTATGGTAATATCGGGATCTCCTTCGATCGCATCTTGATAGACCTCGGGACTGGTCTGCCGCGACCGTGAGGGACTTATCGAAGGGCGCAAATCGTATTTTCCGTATGGATCCTGCCTGTACCACCCACTTGCGTTCGAATTCCGACTCCTAAAGCCTGGAGGTGACCAGGGTAAACCTGCGCTTGACTGGTCGTCGACTTCACTGTCTCCCTGCTCCGATCTGAAGCCAGACAGAAGGGGTGAGCGCCGCTCTTGTTCCTCGAAATCTTCGATCGACGCCTCTAGCAACGAATGCGCATCTCCACGCAATCTTTCCGCATAGAGTTCCTCCATCGGCGGTGAGGGCATCATGGCAGCCATAAGGGAAAGGAAAGGAAATAGAAGTGGGACATGAGGCTGCGCAGAAGATTGAGGCGAGGCGGGGCAGGGCAAGAGGCCGACAATCAGGTCGCCTTCCACAGCGGTCCTGACCTTTGTACTTTGTGCAAATAAGTGTCACTCGGCAACGACCAGGTGAATGCAACCACTCTTGAGCAAGCTGCAGCGATTGTTTCTATTGAAGAGACCAGGAGAAAGAGACGAGAAGTCACAATGTTTGAGAAGGCAAAAAGGGAAAGTCTATGTCTGGGAAAGCCCAGCCTCTTCTCACAACGCGATCATGCAGATCCAGGGATGGAGGGGATACGCTAGTCAGAGTCAGTTTGACCGGCACGACTGCAAGAACTCTCCCAAGGGCTGCGTTCAGGCGACTTTGCAACAAAGAGGACGGAATGGGAGAGAAATGATGGAGGCTGGGACAGCTGGGACAAACTGGGACAGCTGGCCGTCATGGAGTCGCGGATCTAGTACTCTGTAGACTGCCAATCACGGCCCAGAAACACGGTCAAGACCAGGATTCCTGCTGCAAGGGCGATTTGGGGGCGACCTGCCCTGGCCGCATGTCTAGCCTCTGTCAATGCGGCAGCGCTGGTCCATCATTGGAGGTGTGGGACAGCTCAGAGGAAGATTACTGAGTTACTGCAACTGGCTTATCAGCTCGTTACCCGCCAAACCCCAGAGCTCTCCAGGGGTCAGTGTCG